TCAGGCCCTCTATTCGGCTATATATACACTCGCCTCGTATTTGCGACTTCTTTCTTCTCTCTGTCTCGCGCTATGGGGTGTCCTGTCAGTCCACGCAATTTCCTTAATGTACTCGCTAAATGTTCTAACCCGTAGCTAGTACCTAGTATCTGGTACGTAGTACCTACTACTACATAGACTTGATACTGTTCTCATCTCTATGATAGACGGTATGGTGTGTGTATATATATAATGTATAATTCATTAATTGGTAATTGCCATACCCTATTTTGGATTATAAAGTTTTAGTGGAAAAAGTTGTACAAAATTTTGTCAAGGACGACGATAAAATTGATGTATATTGTTAATGGGGTTAAAAATTTTTTTTTAGAATCCTCAAAAATGATGGGTAATTTTTAAGGATTGTTATTTTCACGCGACAAAAAATCCATGTAAACTCCATTCTCATGAATTAACGAGATTGGTCAATATCATAGTGGTCGTCATGAAATGACGTATGGGGTGTGCACATGTGTGGATAAAATGGCTAATGGGGTAGCTAATGTTCCCATATGTATAAATCGCGCGACACGCACTGGGCGGGTACCTATGCATAATGCAGATATAAAGGCATCATCCATCCTGCCGAGGTAGTGGATTCAGTTAGGATGCCATGTGCTTATCTCGATGACACGATGACTTTACCATAAGATCTTCAAGAGTTTCGCGATATTTCTGTTTTGCGATATTATACGGCAGAACGCCATATGAATTATCGAACGACGTGTATACCAGACACGGGGAACGTGGATACGAATTTTTAGCCACCCTCGTAAAACAGTCCCCCCCAATCCTCCCTCTTTCAGTGCATTAGCCAGTTCCGCGGACACATTGTATGCATTTTATACTTATTTGCACAATTCCCATTGATTTTGTTGACGGTCCACACTATATGCTGTTCCGTGGCGTTTTGGCTTTGGCCAAACGAGGGATGCCAGATCGTTGTCGTTTTATTGGTTGGAAGATATTCGATTTATCGGTTGTATCGATGCCCGATGCCGCGACAGGATTTGCTTTATGGCCTCCCATAAAATACGAGAGCTCCCCGTGCGTCTACCTTCCTTCGCTGACTTTCCTACGGGAGTCGATCCTTTAGATTCATGGGGTTTTTTTTTATTCCTGTCGGCCCCTTTACTCACCTCTGACGTTTTTGCTTGGAACCGGCCGGTCGAGAACACGTTCTCCAGACCGATATGGGGCCCCATACGACAATGAGTGGGACCTGTCATCGAGCTTTGTCAACTTCTGCGAGGGGGTCTATGGGGTTTTCATATGAGGTATCCGGAGGTGGATTTATCATAGCGTGACGGCACACCCACGCAGGCGCCCCCCCCCCTCTCTCTCTCTCTCTCTCTTTTATTCTCAATCGTTCACGTCTCTCTCACTTTTCATTCTCCTCTCGATTCCGTCTCTCCGCTTTGCTCCTGTTTAGCCGTGAACCCCGTACCGATATCTCTACGCCACCATAGAATTCTATGGCACAATAGGACATCTGCTCTTGCGTACGTTCTCTGCGCTGACGTTCACCGACCAAAGGTTGCTGTTACGCATTGACTTATAGCCAAGTATACGATTATGAAAATTGTCGAAGGTTGGCAAAATTTATAAGAAATAAAGAGCACGAGGAGGTATGAATTATTATTGCAAAAATTGTATACAGGGTGAGCCGTAAAGTGACATGTCCCGCAGAACCGATGACGAATGAGATAATAAAAATTATTTGTAAAAATTCGATCTGCATATACGGCATATTATTTGCAAAAGCGCAACCGCCCTGGCCAAATGTCAAATATTATATTCATTGGCGTTTTTATTAGGGTGGCTACCCTGTATAACCATATGCGTAAATGGGGCAGGTCCGGTGGCTGTATTCAAATAAATTTGATTCAGGGACAAGTGATTTATGGTATACAAAGTGCGTTACGTGGTTTAAAAGGAGAATTTAGGTAAAGGGTGGAAAAGTAGAATGCCGTGGGCTGGACTGTCTTATGGCATGAGGCAAGGTGTAAGGGTGGTTCTTGAAGTTTTTTTTTTTTTTTTTCTTTTTTTTATGAAGAAAATTGACGCTCAGCTTTCAGAGCGGGACAGTGACTAATAGCGATGGGGTGCGGATCTGTAAGGGGGTTGCTTCTCTTTTCTTCCAGAAGCCACGCCGACCTAGTATTTACGAGGGTTGCGCGCTTCGGGGAGACGAGATAAAAAATAAATGTCATAATTTGTCAGGTTAGGGCCGCTTCGTACGTTCACAGGGTTGAAGGCAGATCCACCCCGCAAGGGGCTACAGAGCACTGTGTCTTCTCTCGATTCTTTTTCCTTCCCTCTCGACCCCCTCTGTCGCCGTCGAAAATTCCCCCTTACAGCCCGGCAGCCCCAGAACGCCGGAACCCCTGCGGTGACGCTTTTTACGGTATGACGACTCCTGTAGGCGTGCCGACGCGCGGAACCTCGAACCCTCTCAGTCCGTATCCACCATCGCCAGCAGTAAGCTCCTCTTTTGCCCCGGATCTATACACCCCCTCGTATGAGGGTGCCTTGGTAAAATCGAAGGGTGAGAACGCCTACGGAAATGAGTAGGCATAGCTCGCGCAAGCTCAGTTCGAAAACCACCCCATTCTCTACTGTTACGCCTTGAATAGGTATAGATACCCCGAAATTAAGTTTTCCCAAAATACACTTAATTTCTAGAAAAACTTAAAGAAATACAAAAAAAAAACATCCCTTACATTCGGACGTAATCGGACGAGAAAATCGTAGCCGCAAAAAAGACGTATAAAATCCATCCTACAATGAGTCCCCCAAATTCTTTAGGGTTTCATGCAAACGAGGGGCCATCTGTCGGTACCGTTCTAATACGGCGGTTCAGGTGGAAAATTTCACGTCTTCACGGTACGTTGACGATTGTCCTGAAAGGATCGAGTAAGTCCCTTTAATGTCCATGGAACTCATGCAGATGGCACACATGGTAGCGGTCCTGCACTCACATGCGATTAGATTCGTTTGATTGATCAAGGTGACTTCGCTAAGCTGCCACTCCGTTACACGTGTCTCTAAATCTATTCTGCTACTGGTCTCATAGGTACGTAAAAGCCGGTAACAGTAGATACAACCTGTTACTAGCCAGACATAGAATTTTCACAACAGCAAATCCACCTGAAAGGTATTGATCCCATGTATCTATTCCTCGCCCTTATAGAAGCAGCAACACTGTATACACCAGTACCATCACCATCCTCGTCATCATCATCATCAACAGTATCAGCACTATCCATTTGATGTAATCCATCCAGCTTTGCATAGGCGATGTCATTACTTAAATCCTTCTGGATGGATTGTCGAGTCCCGTTACGTAAGGTCTGCATACGCACGTATGTATAAGTCACCTGTACGTTTTCGACCTTTATTTTTCTCCTCTCCGTTGTCCTCGGCTCTCGAAGCTATTCTTTTTCTTTGCCTGCCTTTTTTTTCCTTCTTTTATCTTAGCCACGTTACTCTTTTCCTCCGTGCAACCCCAGCCAGCCCCCCGCCCATTTCCTTCGTTCTTTCAAAGGGAGAAAGGGCTCCGGTGGATAAGAATTGGGGGATGAGCAAAGTGCAGCGCAGTTCCTCGTATTTCAGCTAGAAATACTCTGCCGGCGAGAAAGCAGCAGACTCGTGAAACTAGGGGATGAAAAGGGGCGCAGACCGTGTATACGAATGATACTGGGTAAGATTATAAAATGGCATCTCCTATACCGGTCCCTACCATCCCTTGGAACCACCCAATCCTCGCGGTTCTTAATTCCGCCCGGTTCTATTGTACCCCACCTACAACCCCCCCAGCCCCGTCTCCCACCGCTACCACCACTGCGTACTTCTTTAGCGCTCGAACCTAAAGGGGTTGGATATTACGAGGGTGAGGATGGATAAAAAGGAGACCAAGTCTCAAGACGATCTTTCATACATATAATATGTACATAGATATTCCGTTAGAAACGCAACTGGTAAAACTTTCGACCGTTTGGGAGATCTTTTTGGCATTTTATTATTGAAAATAATTATTTTCAATTTTTCCAAAATTTTCCATTTTCGATATTTGGGACTGTAATTTTGGTCAGTTGTGTCTCTATCTTCGTCTTACACGTGCAGAGGTACATAAGTACCTCTCTCTCGCACTCGTTCCTCGATACCACACTCTTCTTCTTCTTCAAGCAGAACCAATTATTCATCCTAAACGCGCTATTCCTCTTTCACGTGAAATTTCTCGAAATCTCCGTAGTTTCAATTCTCATAGAATCCAAAATTGATGCCTCCAAGTACCAAGTTCCAAGAGTTCTTTTCATCCTCTGTATCTCAGTTGAATTACTGATACATTCTCTGCCGTGATTGGGCTGCCGGTACGTCATTCCGCGTAGATGGGAGGGTTGATTGGTCCGCAGCAATTCCCAGTGAGTTACGACTACATTATGCATGTAATACAGCATGCTTCTTCGAGCCGACAGTGATGCAGAATGATAGGGGTTAATAAAGTTTTCCAAACACACCCCAAAACTATGGAGATTCAAAAATCATCCCTTATACTTCGTGATCGGGATCCAAACTCGAGTCACGATTTTCTCGGAACAAAGTTTACGCGAATTTTTTTTCTTTTTCAAGGGATGCATATCTTCGACCCTTGATCAAAAAATCTTATCTCGTAACTCCAATTTTTTTTGTACTTTTATTTTTTTTCTCTTTCATTCACTCTTCCTCACCACTAGTCGGCTCCTCGGTAGACCCCTGTCTTTTGATCCTACCGAACACTCCACGCCATACTGGGGGCGGCAGAATTTTCGACCAATCCCCTTTGAATCGTGGGTGTTGGGGTATCAGCCACACCCAATCACCCTCTTTCTTTACCCCCTCTCTTGGCACACTCCCATGAGAGTCACGTGCGCACGAGCACCAGTTTACTCTCAGTCGTGCGCGTGTCGACGAACCCGGCAGATACGCTGACGTTCCACGCGCTTTCATCCCTTATATAGAGACAATAAGTTCATCTGGAAAAGCCATGTGATACAATCAAGAAGGATATATCGTATTATAGTGTTTTTAGTTTTTGAGAATTTTCAAACTCCTATATATTTTTCTTGCCCGTACCGGGTCCTGGGCTCTTGTGCTGTGATACAATAAATTTTATTATTAAGGGTTGATTTATTTGTTTTACAAAAAAAAAAAAACGTTTTATCGTGACATGTGCTACTATAGAATTCGTCTGACGCTTATCAATCGGAAAAATTGTCTCTGATAACAAGTGACTGAAATATTTCTCAGTGCGGATATGCTCAGTTGCGAGATACTTTCCTTCGATGGCGTGTATGGTGGTCGTGGTGATTTATTGACGCCACCACAGAGCAGCCCAGAATCTCACCATAGTAATATACATCAACCCCATAACATGCACTCCTTGGAAGAGACCAGTGCTGAGCTGGGTTTAACTCGGAGCATACCGGAAGCTCTCTTGTGTGAGTGTGACAGGTGTAAAAAAAAGATGGGGAAGGGTGGTTTAAAATAAAAATGAAATTTCAAAATAAAGGACCGAAATTAAAATTTTGATTATCTGCTTCGATATCGTATAAATAAATTTTGAATTAATTGAAAATTAAATAATCGTATATACAGTGCTCCTTGTGAGAATTCTATTAAACGTAGGGAATTTCTTTTCTTTTCGCAGCGTCGATACCAAAATGCGGTGGTTGCCAGGAGACGATAATGGACAGGTATGTCCTACGTGTCCTGGAAAGGTGTTGGCATGCAAGATGTCTCACATGTCGCGACTGCGGTGCACGACTGACGAACAAGTGTTTCGCGAGAAACGGCCACGTGTTCTGCAAGGATGACTTTTTCAAGTAAGCATCAACGCAACAATAGACATATACGCGACGTAGCTAATTTTATTCGCCAGTAAAAATAATAAAAATCATCGATTGATGTATCGTTCAGATAGCAATTAGTGCAGTTGTATTGCACAAATAAAATTATAAAAAAGATTTAGCAAAAATCCGCAAATCAGTCGAATTTTCCGTATCTGTAATATCATAGTTTTCTGTCACATTAGAAAATCAATGTAATCAAGCATACCAAGTGTATAGAAGCAAAATTTTTTTTTCTCAAATTCAAATAATTGTTAGATAACAAATATCATTCACAGTACAATTTATAGTGTAAATATATGTATATGTATATATACAACGTGTACACAACATATATATATATATATATATATATATACACAGCTGCGCTAGTTCGTATCTAAAGATACGTAAAGTGAGAATGTAATGTCAAAATGGTATATATACAACGTGTACACAACATAGCAAAATTTTTTTTTCTCAAATTCAAATAATTGTTAGATAACAAATATCATTCACAGTACAATTTATAGTGTAAATATATGTATATGTATATATACAACGTGTACACAACATATATATATATATATATATATATATACACAGCTGCGCTAGTTCGTATCTAAAGATACGTAAAGTGAGAATGTAATGTCAAAATGTTCTGTGCCGTTGGTGTGGCAGGCGCTTTGGGACGAAGTGCGCGGGCTGCGGCCAGGGTCTGGCACCATCTCAGGTGGTTCGAAGAGCCCAGGAACTCGTCTACCACCTAACGTGTTTTTCATGCGCCCTGTGTTCCCGACAACTGGACACGGGGGACGAGTTTTATCTGATGGAGGATCGCAAGCTCGTCTGCAAGCCCGATTACGAGCAGGCCAAGGCAAAAGGTAAAGAAATAAAACTAAAATGTTATTACAATGTTATATTTATATTATAATGTTATAAAAATGTTATATTAAAATAATATGTTAATTACTTTTTTTTTTCCCGAATAATCGTCAGAGGAAAAAAGTTCGAAAATGTTCTAATATCTTTACGCTCCTCGTAGAACTGGCTGACGGCGGAAGCATAGACGGCGATCAGCCTAACAAGAGACCAAGAACCACCATAACGGCCAAGCAACTGGAAACCCTTAAACTTGCCTATAATAATAGTCCGAAACCTGCCAGACATGTTCGAGAACAACTCTCACAGGACACTGGATTGGACATGCGTGTCGTCCAAGTCTGGTTCCAGAACAGGTGAGTTCCTAAGGCTTATGGGGATAACTAGATTTTTCTACGGGACAAAGGAGACTTTGCCATTGAGTGGTTACAAAATTACCAACCATAGGATTCGTATGTTTACTATGAGGATGGATAAGTATAAATTGCCCAATGGGTTAGATATCAAGACATTACCATGGTACAAAGTTATTTAGCAGCATCCCTTACAGGACCGTTCAGATTAATCAAAATTTATCAACCGATCCCCCCCCCCCCC